GCGACAAACACACAATCAATCGCCAAACACTTCAACCGACATCAAGAAGATCAACACTGGGGCAAATTCAAACCTCCATATCGCCCCACTCACACTCATGCGACCACCGACACCCCCTTACCAACAACACAATCAAAAAATGACTAGAACACAATAAACTCACCGTAAGAATCAGAGGTGTCTGAAGAATTCGAGGTATAAAAATCTGAATAGCTTAGATTTGAAGGCCACCATGCAGGCGGTATCTTATAAAGTCTTAAGTCTTCATAAATGGCGTCCCACACGCCATACCTTGTAAGTCGATCATCCTCTGGGTGGTATCTACCCAATCGGTTCTCTGTGGACTCGTCATACTTACGACGATGGAAGGACTGGGAGATGTTGGGAATTTGGCCACGAGATGTACAAAGGGCAACCGAAGATTGGCGAGGCTTGTAATAATACTCTAATTTTTGTGGCTGTCTGTTAATATTGGATAGTGGCTGAATAAGTCGCCTAGCTCCAAGATCGGAGCGCCGCGAAACACGGTGGCGTGAAGCGACCCCCTGATGACAAGAGCGAACAGAAGGCCTAGAAAGACTCCTTCGTGAAGGACGAGGGCCAGTTCCCCCACCAGATCCCCCGGATCGTTGTCTTCCAGATCCTGCAGACTGACAAGTTTGCTCTCTAGGTTCCTCACGTCACCCTTTATGAAGACGGGAACTAGACGCCTCACCAGAGTACGGAACCACAGGTCCTAATGCCCTCTCTGGTAGGAGATTTTGGATCTCCTCTTCACTAAAACCCAGAAGTTCGGGTATTCTACCATGACGTAGTACTCAACCCCAGGAATAAAAGAGAGATTTGGGGCACGACTAGCAAGGTATTCCTGCGTAGCTAGCCCCACTGCACTGTCTTCCAGTGTGTCGAAAGCTTCATCAAACTCTTCCTCCTTAATCTCCACTTCCAACTCAGGCAATATTAAACCAGGGATGGGTTCCGTAAACTTAACCATCACAAGAAAAAAAGGCAGAGGGGAAGCAAAGCCAAAGAAATACCAAAGGAGGAAGCCATAAACACTATACCTAGGATAATGTAGAGAATAAAGAAAAGAAGACCGGCAATAGCACACTCACACGGAGGGGAAACAAGGTAGGAGTAATAAGGAGTCTGGGTTGCGTGAAGAAGGTCCTCGAGGAGGTGTTTCTCCCCTTTAAATAGGGAGAAAAGGACCAGGATGGCATACACGTGTAAGGCCCTCCTTACCCAACCATAGGATGGCACAACCGTCATATAACAGGCGGTTGTGATGAGGGGCCAGATGGTAATTACAGGGGGACAAGACACCCCTCACATTGCATTAATGCGCTGTGCCTCGTGACGCTTGAGTGTCTGCAGTTAATTGCAGTGATGGAAATACCTATCATTACTGCTCCTCGAAAACCGAAGAGCCATCTTACTTGTCAGAATGGCAGCCTTTTCCAAAAATGCCCTTGCCAACCGCTCAGATCGCCAAACTCCAAACATTCGCTAGAGTCATCAAGAGATCCCTCTCAACGCCAGCCAACTGCTCGGATTTCCAAGAAGGCATCGCCAAACTCCAAACATTCGCTAGAGTTATCAAGAGATCCCTCTCAACGCCCTGCTAACTGCTCGGATCGCCAAGAAGGCAATGCCAAAGCCATGTCAACCCAGGAAACCCCACTCGGAACCGCCAAACTCCAAATATTCGGTAAGTCATCGAGAGATCTCTATTTGAGCCTGTACCAGCCGTTCAGATCGCCAAACAAGGCGTCGCCGGAGCCCTTTTACCTTAGCACGAACCTACGTTTGCTACCAAGCTGGGGGGCTCCTGTTCCGGATGGCCCAACAAGGCTACGACCCAAAGGTCCAGGCCCAATCTCAACCCTCAATCCACGTCAGCCCTACCAGCTCGTGAGATTCCTCAACTCCCAACACCGCGACCCCCCGAAAGGGAAACACCAAAATGTGTTACCTTGGGACCATAACCCCCGAAGGCAGTCACCCCAGATGCTATAAGGGGAAACTTCCCTTTGTCCCACGCTGACACCGCCAGGCATAAGGGGTGCAGCGCTACTATCACAGAAGCGTCTGCCACGCCCAACACTGCCACCCTTAGCAGATCCTAAGGAGGGTTGACCCCCTCCTCACCAACCCAAACAAGATTCACGTGACCTCCTCTATAAATAGCCCCGAATATAGTTTTCTTTATACTTCATGTTCACCCTTTAAATATAGTTTTCTATGGGTCAAGTTTTTTCAATATAACAAATTAATTAGAAGAAAAGTCATCCATAAATTTTAATCCTGGAATATTAAACTTCATTATTATTCTCCATTTTTCTTTTCTTTTCTAACACCACATTTTACTTAGTAAAGGTGGTCCCTATCTTTAGTTGTTGTAGTCTTAAACTCTTAATTCTGTATACAACTGTACTCATAACTCTATATTTGAATTCAATTGGCTTAAGTTTGAATTTTATATAATTATACTATTGGAGTACATTTAATATTGACCAATAATAATGCCAGCTAGATGACATATCAGCATAACAGATTGTTTGTTATTTTCAGTTATAATTGAATTCTGTTATTAGTTGTTATTAGTCTTTTTCTTCTTCGATGTAATATAAATAGTGAGTCTTAAACATTACTCCTCATAATATCAATATTTAAAAAAACACCAAAAAATAGCAATACTCAATTTTGTGCGTTGGCTCACGGGGAAATATGAGTGTTGAGATAGATGAATTATTAAAAGAGTAAGGATTCAAATCTTGAAAAGGATTTGATGTCACTAGGAATTAGTCTTATAGCATGCGATTCTCAAAGGGCAATATGAGAAATGGGATGGATGAATTGTCAAAAAAAGGAAGGGTTCGAATCCTAAAAAGACTTCAGGGGGTGTTTGTTATGGAGATTTTATGTAGAATGATGGGGAAGTGGGGTGGGGAATGTTTTTTGTCAGTGTTTGGTATAAGCTATCATGGTTTATTGCCAGCAAAAAATATATCCCATTAATCCCCATTTGCACTAAGAAGTGGAAAAAACTATCTCCCCCAGTCTATGGTATTTATTTTTTTCTATGTACTACGATTCTTCTTGTAATGAATTCAGGTATGAAAATTGGTAATTTGTAATTTATGTTAACTTTCCCATCAATATTTTACAATCAACCAAACGCATCATCATTAAAATTAAGCACATTTTCCCGGTAAAATTTTGACCTACCAAACAACTTTTTGTTACTTTCCAGGGCTAAATTATTTTCCACCATATTATCAGAAATCTTTTTTCTCCGGACAAAAAAAATATCTCTCATACCAAATGCCCAGTGTGACAAGAGATTAATCTTTTAGCCATACGAGTCTCAAGGGGCAATACGAGTCCCATGACGAACGGATTACTAAAAGAGAAGGGGTTCGAATCTTGAAAAGGATTTAAGCGACGTTTGATGACAGGATTGTATTTTAATTCCAGGGAAAACTTGTTAGGGAAAATTATAATGCCATGTTTGATAGTAAAAAAATGAAAAGTTTCTCGGGTAAATTTTTTCCCCAATTTTTGCTATTGTATGTAAAGTTATGTACGGCAACCATAGCATAAAGCTCATGGATTAGGTGGAATTGTTTTTTGCCCGGGAAAGTGAAAAAAAAACGGTGATTATTTGGACTAAATTAACCTTGCTTTTTTGTACGATATGTGACCAAATGGTGTTCGTTAATTGACCTGGTACCAAATGACAACAATTGCTCATTATACTTTTTGAATTAAAAAGTAAAGGTAAAGAAATGGATCAGAGAAAAGAAACCTTTTGAATATGAAGAAGAAAATTGATATTGATATTATGAGGAGTAATGTTTAAGACTCACTATTTATATTACATCGAAGAAGAAAAAGACTAATAACAACTAATAACAGAATTCAGTTATAACTGAAAATAACAAACAATCTGTTATGTTGATCTGTCATCTAGTTGGCACTATTATTGGTCAATACCCCCCACAAACTGGGCGATGGATATCAATGAGACCAAGCTTGGAGACGTTCGTGGTAAATAGTTGAGGGTACAATGGCTTGGTAAAAACATCAGTAACTTGTGCTGAAGAAGAAACATGCAACAAATGTATGAGACCACTAATGATCTTTTCGCGTATGATCGATGTGGCAGTCTAGCTCTATATGCTTAGAGCGCTCATGGAAAGCGGGATTATGAGCAAGATAAATGGCGGATCTATTGTCACAGAAAACAGAGGTGGGCTTTGTTGTAGATGAGCAGAGATCTTAACAATCTGTTATGCTGATCTGTCATCTAGCTGGCATTATTATTGGTCAATAAAAGGTGGGGTTATTTTTATAAAATAACTCCACATTCCTACTAAGAGGAGAGTTATATTTTCAAATTTTTTTCTTACAAACTACACTATGTACTTCCAGAAATATATTAGGTTACACTATATACTTCCGAGAGTACATAGTGTAATTTGCAAAAATTTGTAAAAAAAGTGTGTAAACGGATCCTTCCCCTCCTACTAATATTTCACAATCAACCAAACACCAACTCAGTAAACTTAATCAAATAATTTTGAAAAAAAAATTTGACCTACCAAATACTTTTTTAATTTTTATAACTTATATGAGGTAACAAATTTCGCATCGTATTTTCAGAAATCTTTTATTCCCGATAATTTTTTTTTTAATGTACTAAACGCCTTTTAGTGTAGACTCAACTAGGAATTAGTCTATGCCGGTTTCTTTTACGACTCGGACCCCAAAAGAGAAAGGTGAAGAAATTGAAATGACAGCACCAGATCACTGAAAATGTAAGAAAGTAAAAGTACATCATATAACTTGTTCTCCTTCTTCTCACTATATCACCATATCATTGCACGCCACATGCTAGAAAGCCATAAAGTTCTGGTATAGCTATGTCCTTTCCTTTCACAAATCACAAATCCTTAAAACAAACATGATACAAGTTTGGTCCACCAAGCAGCATAAAGTACATCAAGAATATAAACTACCTTTTAAACACCACCAAGCACAAAGGCTCTCCATTGTGGACTCCAAAACAAATGGAAAAAAAAAAAAAAGGGCAAGGAGGAAGTGATTTAATCAAACATCTATATCCTTATTCAATCACGCCAAAACCTAAGAAAACCATAGGAGACAAATCTAATTAAGATAATAAAAGGCTAGCTGAAACACAAGTTTTATTTACTAACACCCTTTAATCTTCATCAATCACCTTCTTCTTGCAGCAGTCTCTCTCTGAGCATTGAAGTAAACTGCAGCAACAGGTAAACCAAGTCCATTCTCCTCTGAGAACCTCCTTGTGTTGAAATAGTCTCTAGAAGTTGGGGGTCTCACTGTTTGTCTTCCTCTCTGCTTGAACAAGATGAACGCATATCTGTGGATTCCTATTACTGGCTTTGGACTCTCATACCCCACAATCTCTCTTCCTGTTAAATTCTTGACAAAATAACCATTATTACAAAGCATCTTTAAAAGTCACATTTTTTTTTTCTTGCAATTAACATGTATAGTTGTAAAAGTATATCCAAGAATATGCTTTGTCCTTAGATATTCAGAAATATAATGAAAAATCAAAGATAGACTAACCAAAAGAGGCATCTGTGGTACCAGGAATATCTGCAACCATCCTGACAAATTGGCACCAAGTTGTTGAGGGAATTGAAAGTACACAAAATATAGACATTGAAAAGAGATTTAGTTAATTGATTATACAAACCAGTGGAGATGTTCCCTTAAGTATGGATCACTAGGACTTGGAGCATCTGGGTCTGTCATGATCTACAATTTTTCATTTGGCATAGATATATACTAATGTCAGTACATATAGAAACATAATCACTCCCTATTAAATCTCGACAATCGAGGATAGAGATAAGGACAATGCTTAGATACCCTTATATTTATATATGTATCCAAGGAAACTGTTTCTTATATTTAAATTCGTGACCTTTCAGTCAAAAAGAAATAATTATGAGTATCCATATATAGGGTGAGTGAGTAACTTACCAAGGTATAAGCAGCTCTCATGTCATCACCACCAATCTCAACGCGTGGCTTGGTCATAATAGTTGAAGGCATTAACTCATGACCATTAGCAACTTGCTTGGTGGGATATGTCACATTCATTCTTACACTTGGGCTGAAAATGTCAACCACCTCTCCTATCACTCTTCCCATAGCAAGTGGTTCTATGAGTCCAGACATTGCAATAATACAAAGAGAAAGGGATGTTGGTGTGAGAGAGATGAAGAAAATATAATATGCTCTAAAACTTGGTAATATGGGTACATAGGAAGTGAGATTTTGAAGGCATTTATAGCCACAAGGATTCAGAAATGGAAATCATGAAGAAAGATTCCATAAGGGTTGTCTATTTCGGGAAAGGACATCTGTTTTTAAGTATGGAATTTGTGTTCTTCAAAGAACACGCTAGAGAGCATGATCATCTGCTACATTTATTTATTATCCTAAGTGATCACTCTGAAAAAGGTTGAAGTTATACATCAATTTTTATGTATGATTAATGGCAGAATCTATAATATGTCGTTGGTCTATAGGCTAAACGAGAATGAAGAATATATACTATTTGTCCCACTTACAATATATTATCTTTGGCGAATGAGAATTCAACTTTTTGATAAGGTGCTGAATTTCATGCACGTGATTTCTCATATCAATGAAAAAGAAATCTTATCAAGTTCAGTATTTGTATTTTAAATTCTTGGAGTGACAAAAATCTGATTAGTTTAGGATCAATTTTTGTAGAAATGAAGATCTAATTAATTTCAAAACAAAATGCATTTCAAGTGAAGACACATTTTCTATCCCAATTGAGGTCCCTCTTCTCCAAAACTCAAAAAGAAAATAAAAAAGTAAAAGAGGAATAAAAACCCCTTACAAAATGAGACATAGCACATGCAGTCAAGTTAACATATGTTCTAATACCTTGTTAGCCAACCATGCAAGACATGACCTCACACACTGGAGATTTAGAAACCTTGCATGCATATTTGCATGTAAAGTCTTCCCACATAAAAGAGTTCAGTTTCTCATATTTCCAAAAAAAAAAAAAAAGAGTTCAGTTTCTCAATTAAGTCATATCCCATTAATGAATATCACCAATTTCTTGAGAAATTTAAATTTAAGATCTTCATCACAAAATACGCCACTAGGTATTTATTATTAATTTCTTTAATACACCCTCTTATACCAAAATCTATTTTTTAGGGATTGAAACGTGTAACATTTATAAAACTATCATATCAAGAACCCATCTTAGGAATTAAAACATTAATTTTTTAATTTTTATTGAAAAAAACTTTAACATCATTTTAAATAATTATTTCAATTTACAAGCTGAAGCTATTAAGTGATAACAGCTTTAAAAGTTTTAGGAAAAAAGAAGAATAATGTTATAAGAAAGTTGTTAGGTTATGTTATAGAGATAGAAATTGTGGGTCTCACACTTGTTTTCAAAAAACAAAAAAATAAAACAAGTATAAGTCCCAAAATCCTTATCTATAACATAACTTAATAACTTTCCTACAATTCTTCTTTTTCTTAAAATTTTATATAGTATTTATTTCACAGTAAACTTCAGCATCAAAGTCAAAAAAAATTAAATTATGTCATAATAAGTGATTGATTGATATGCCAATTATTGCTGGGATAGAATCAATTTCTCCTAGATTCATGTTTGAGACGTGGCTGGCTCAGATTTAAAAGAGCTGCCACGATTCAATCAAAATATATAACCTATTGAACTTTCAACAAAATTAATTATTTTCTTTGATGTTTCTATATTCTACAAATTCTGAATATATAGTAGTAGGGAATAAATTCAAAATGATAATTTCTTTCATGTAGAATGTAAAGAAAATTGTAAAATTTGACACGTTAAATAACTTCATGCAACATATTCTATTATACCTTGGAATATTCCTAAACAGAGTTGTAAGAACTATTATTAAAAAAAAAAGACCGTCTAATCATGGAAATTCTTATAATTATAGGATTTGAAAAGCATACTCGTTGCACACAGCTCATATAGAGATTTGTACCTTAATGATATATATGATGAATAAGAAGGAAGAAGAAAAAGAGAAAGAAAAATATATAGATGATGAGATGATAGTTACGTAAGAGTTGTTTTATGTGTAAGTAACATAATTGTATAAATTATATACAATTTTATTTCCCCAGTCAGAGACACTTCTTTTGCAACTATAACTCTATAATTAGCAGTATAAAAAAAAAAAAAAAAAAATTTTATAACAAATTATTCTCTCCCCCACTTCTACAAAAAAACATACAGAAGAACACAAAAAGAAAAAGAAAAGGAATAAGCACAAATGAATAGAAAGAAAAATTCATTGACCACTAATAACATTTTAGTATATTTTCAGCTTTCTCGTTTGTTTCCATTACACTGTTCTGTTTGTTACCAAAATCATATGAAATGATACCCAATCACGATCTCACATGTTTACACGGAGAATCTATTATTCTGTCTCAGAAACTGACATGAAGAACAAACCACACGGTGACGTGAAAAAGTGATCATGTGATAATATTATTTGATCATAATCATTCATTTAAAAATCATATACTTCTTTCTCTTAATTATATCATCACTAATAAGTGATTATGATCAAATAACATGACTACATAAATATTTTTTCATATCCAAATCCATGTGTACTGTATACAAAAGTGTCGAATGCCCCTCTTTTTCTTAAATCTTTTGGCTAATTATTAACAAGTGCTCGACAATATCCAGCTCTCTGAACAAAGCAGCAACAAAAGGGAATTTCGCGTCCATTTTTTTTTTCTTGGAAAGAAGCGATAATGAGTTGTTAAATATTCATTTGTTTTTGGTCATATTTAATAGTCAATTATATAAAATATTTTGATACACAGTGAATTTTTATATAAGTACTTACTAATTTTTCTATTTAGTATACGGGAAAATGTTTTAAAAATGAATGGATCCTATTATGAATGAATATTCCTTTATTAAATATTCATTTGTTTTTTATTTTTCATACTCACTTAAAAATGAATGGATCCTATTATAAAAAGAAGAGAAAAACTTAAGAGGACCCACTCACTTTAAATATGAGTGTGACAAAAAAAAATTTCTGCAATAAAAATAAAAACACTAAACCCTTCATATACATACATACATACATACATATATATATAGAAAATGATCCGTTTACAAATTTTATTACACTAAGTATGACCGGTTATACACTCTTAATTAAAATATGACCGATCATGCTTAGTGTAGTTTATGAGAATTTATAAACAAAATTTTTGTAAATATAACCTTCATATATATATATATATATATATATATATATATATATATATATGAGACAGGATCCTTTGACACCGGTGTCAAAATAAAAGTTTGACACTTCATCTGAGAGCCGTTAGATTAAAAAAAATCAACGATTCTGATTTGTAAGCATGTGACACCATTGATTTTTTTTAATCTAACGGTTCTCAGATGAGGTGTCAAACTTTTCCTTTGACACCGGTGTCATAGGATCCTGCCTCTATATATATATATACTCATATGAGTCTACTTGTGTCGGTGGTTAATAAATTAATGAGTTTGATATTTGTCTTTTAAATGATACAAAATCATTTTTTTTTTTCGGTAATGAGAATTATGTCCTGTTAAATAAAAAAAAGATATGCAATAAAAATTATAGAAAGGAGAAAATGAGTGATTTTTTTAATTTAAATTTTAAATGAAAAATATTACTTTTAACCAAAATGACTAACATTTTCTCCTAAGTTAATATGAGTTATAAAAAAAATTTAATATATAATAGGTACTGCTCAATATTTTTTAATGTGGGTCCTTCTGCAAAATTCTTAGAACTGATTGGATTAATAGTTGGCAAAGAAAGAAAAAATGGCAGCCTTTGTGCTCTGAGCTCTTCACACTTTATTGGTGCATTAAAGGATAATTGAAAAAATATTTATGGTACTACTATTATACCATTTATTCATGAGGTAGTATATTTTTACCATTAATTTTTTTTATTATCACTTCACTATCACTTTAATCACCATTGGATTCAAAAGTTATTTTTCTTTTTTCTCTCTTCATTCAACTTTTTTTCTAATCCAATGATAATTAGAGTGGTAGTAAAAAAAATTAATAGTAAGAATATCCTAACTCTTTATTCATTGCATCTAGCCAATAAAAATATCATTTGTTAAATAAAAAATGGGATATATTTTTCTTATGTTGTAGGAAAATAATTATCTCATGTTGTAGAAATAAAAGTATAAGTGAGACCCACAAGTAAGAGGAGAGAAAAAAAAGAATGGTGGGACCTAACCTCTTTTTGTGTGTGTAAGAAAATTGTTTATCTCATGTAAAATGAGATAAACAAAACCCATAAAAAATACATCTACTATGAATGTACAGAAAATGATCGACAATGGGAATTTGGAGAATGTGGTCGATAAAGAAAAGTGAATGCATGAAAATAACCTCTACCACCTCGACACGTACGTAGTGTCACTTTTACAGAATATCTATGTCTGCTGAAAAGCATTGGAAATTAAAAGTTGTAAAATGTACTTTAAAAAATTAAAAAAAGTAACATTAAGATCGTCCATTTGCTTTTTTATATGTTGTTGCGTTTTGACTGCCTTGGTGTTGGTTATCAACATCAAGATCAATTCTCGCACTATCATGTAGTAGGTTTCCAACTTCTACACTACAAGTAACACCATTCCATTTAAGAAAAATTTAAGATGAAATCAAATGTGGGTTAAGTACTTTATCAAGTAATAACAATTAGGGCCTGCAGTTAAGAAATTAAAAATTAAAATTGTTAAAGTTAAAAATACAAGCATTTAGTACTTTAAAAATCTAAAAAAATAAAATCACGAATTAACCACCCTAAAATCCTAAGTTGTAATAATAATAATTTTTTATTCTTCTAAAACACAAGAGTCCATTTATATTTAGTTGAAGTTTAATTTTTTTTTAGAAGAATAGAGGCGGCAAAAATTAAACTCATGACAACATATGGATATAGAGGCTTGGATACCATAATATGACCCAACAATAACTTCCCTAGAAATTTAAATTGTTAGAAGAAGACACATGAATAATTTTTTATTATATTTTAAGAAATATTTATTACTTTTTCTTTAATTAATTAAGAAAGTAGTAGATATTATATTGTATTCCTTAATATTCACGTGGCTTAAAATACAGGCTATCAAAATTATAATAATTATATGAGCTTATATTTGCATGCCTTTATATATTATTTTACACATTATTATATAAATTCTGTTGAATTCTCGTGATCCAAATATGGATGAACTACTATTTTCTTAAGTTATATCTTAGAGAATATATATATATATATATATATAT